TCACCTTCCTTTTCAACGCAGAAGCCGTTGTCCTAAAGTAAGTAATCCACCGCATTATTGTGCTACGCAACGGAACTTGTCCATGTCGCCATAATTGAAAGAATGCATGAAACTGCCGCTGAGTAGCAATGAATGAATTCACAATTTTATAAAACGACTCCATAACAACCGCACTAGCTTAGGCGACCACTGCTCTCTATGACTAAAAAATGGCATTGTGTAGGCTTTCCAACGAGCCTCCTCCCACTACTCTCGGACGACCTGTCGTTGAACAGTGCTATGCAGAAAATACAGGGTGGGGCAATGAGAACGCCACAATTTGTTTTAGCTGTCACATGTTAATTGTTGCAACAACAAATGATCAGCTGTGCAAAACATCAATTAAACTATGCCATTTTAGTAAATATTATGCCCGAGGCTATTAACACTGAGATATTGATGTGCAAACCTATTTTTAAAATTGTGGTTCTTGTGCAAAAACCCAGAGATTGTTTGGACCACATTCCATCCTTGGTCAACATGGCACTGTTCCAGATTGGAAAACAATGGTGAACTGGGTAAAATTATTTAGGATAAACGCTTAAACCTTAAAAATAATCGGTGGGTGCCGCAAAACTCTTTGTACACCAGCAAATGTTGAAAGAGTGCGAGTCGCAGTAACTTAAAGTCCAAAGAGATTTGCCAGGAAGCTGTTGTTGAAAGCTTTACGTTGGCTCCTTTTTTTGGAAGGGGGGTTTCTAATAAGCTACTTGAAGTTTGAGGTTTTTCAAAGTCACCCCACAGATTTGCTTGAACCGAAGCTAAGAATTGTCCAAAAACTAAAGTGATTCCTGAAGAAATGCTGGAGGAGTATTTGATGGAGTTTTCAAGTGCCTAATGTCAAGTAGGACAAGAACGTCACTTGCAGGATTTCGTTCTCAAGAAATGGAAAAATGACTTAGTTAAGTTAAAATGGCAAAAGATAAGCTGTGTTTTGTTGTGCTATTTATATCCATAGGGTGAATATTATTGAGTTTGTACTGCTTATAAATTGGGGCGCTTTCATTGCCCCACCCTGTAGATGGTTTTTTTTTTTTTGCCGCATCCTGTATTTAACCAGTCATCTGTGATAAATCAGTAGGTATTTAAAAATTTTACAAAATTAGGTTAAAATGTCAAACGTGCATTTCCTGTTATGTATGAGAAGGGAAATCCCGTCTCGAAATCTTATGAGAAATAAAACATCCTGTCACGCCTCGAATTAAAAATCCAATCTCATCAATCCCTAATTTTTATGCAAATAAATCTATTCCACATAAAATCAATTATGCTCTTATTGTCTTATTATATCATCAAATATTTACCTATTCATATCTTTAACACGTTCGCTACTGCAATAGTACGAAATTTTCCATTCACATGGACCAGCGACGCACATATGCGACGGCCGGTTTCCACCTATAGACTGCCGTCGCATATATGCGTCGGGGTTCTAATGTTATTAAAATGCTTATATCTTTGTAGTGGTCTATTTGAAGGCACTGAATTCCCAGCAGTGGTCTACAGAGATGTCTGACGCACAACTGCGTCGCTTGGTCTGTGGATATGATGATTGGTGACGTCATATAATAGTTGGAAATACTGGTCTTTGCTTCTCTGCATCACTGTATGTATGAATGCAATATGTATGCTGCATTATCCTATGTACAGGGTGTCTACCAGATTTCTCAAATGGAATTCCCGACTTTTTCCCGACTTTTCATTACCATTTTTATATAAATCCCGACCAAAAACTCGGTCCATTCTCCATGTTACTACACCTTTTTCCGTCTCGCGGTCACGGTACCTTCGTCAACATATGTTGTCACTTACGACCCAGCAAAATCACTGACGATCGAAACGTATCACATGCCAAGAAAATCCCGTATTAAATGTAGGGGTGTGTGAAGCAGCAAAACATTTCAACTCAAAGCAACGATTCGATTAAAAAAAAAATTTTGATGTAACTCGATTCGAAGCAACATGGAATTTTTCTATTCATACTTCTCAGTGGAGTGAAATATCTGTTTTCAATCATACATTAGAAGAACCAGTATTTCTGGAAATAACAGTGAGCTTCTTGCCTATTTCATAATTTTTACTTGCAGCATCATGTTGTTAAGTATGTTACCTATTTTATTTTATTCATTTTATAAATAAAGATATTTTTGGGTGTAAACAAATAAAAACCTTTGTAAGATTTAAATACTGAATCTTTCAATTGGTTTACATTGATAAAATAAGAGGATAGAATCAAAACTACAAGGTATACATAACTTCTTGTATGGCGAAGCAATGTCTCAGTGTATGCAATGTACTTGGATGGCAATAACCTGTATGGTCAAGCAATGTCTCAGTGTATGCCATGTACTTGGATGGCAATAACCTGTATGGCTAAGCAATGTCTCAGTGTATGCTATGTACTTGGATGGCAATAACCTGTATGGCTAAGCAATGTCTCAGTGTATGCCATGTACTTGGATGGCAATAACCTGTATGGCTAAGCAATGTCTCAGTGTATACCATGTACTTGGATGGTAATAACTTGTATGGCTAAGCAATGTCTCAGTGTATGCCATGTACTTGGATGGTAATAACTTGTATAGCTAAGCAATGTCTCAGTGTATGCCATGTACTTGGATGGTAATAACTTGTATGGCTAAGCAATGTCTCAGTGTATGCCATGTACTTGGATGGTAAAAACTTGTATGGCTAAGCAATGTCTCAGTGTATACCATGTACTTGGATGGTAATAACTTGTATGGCTAAGCAATGTCTCAGTGTATTCCATATACTTGGATGGTAATAACCTGTATGGCTAAGCAATGTCACAGTGTATGCCATGTACTTGGATGGCAATAACCTGTATGGCTAAGCAATGTCTCAGTGTATTCCATGTACTTGGATGGTAATAACTTGTATGGCTAAGCAATGTCTCAGTGTATGCCATGTACTTGGATGGTAATAACTTGTATGGCTAAGCAATGTCTCAGTGTATGCCATGTACTTGGATGGCAATAACCTGTATGGCTAAGCAATGTCTCAGTGTATGCCATGTACTTGTTTGGTAATAACTTGTATGGCTAAGCAATGTCTCATCTCAATGAATAGCTTATATAATTAATGTCAATCATTTGAATAATGTCAATAAGTTATATATGGATACTGGTAGTCAAAGTAACAGTATCAATGTAACAGTCAACTACGTATATGGATACTGATTCAATGACGTATAGACACTGATTCAAAAAGTTATTTGGATAATGATTCAATAACGTATATGGATACTGATTCAATACCGTATATAGATACTGATTCCATAACGTATGGATGCTGATTCAAAAACGTATATTATGGACACTGAATTCCCATGATTCAAATCGTTATTTTGATCATCACTGAATCGAATTGGAATTCCGATGCATTTTCGTTTCATCCCCCACCCCTCAAATGTAATCCCGTCCCAATGATCAGGAATATAAGATCCAGAACATTTTTTTAAAGTTTTGGGACCCGTTCATCCCTAATTTTGAAAGGTTAGATTATTCCCGACTTTAGGCCGAAATTCATGACTTTTTCACGACTTTTCCCGACCTTTCAAAATCCCCGACTTTTTCCCGAATTTCCCGGAATTCCCGACTGGTAGACACCCTGTATGTAGCTTTTATATTTGTTCAGTTATAAACTGATCTTGAATAATCTGTTTATTTTTTTACTTACTTTCACTTTAAAACACAAAAAATGAACTGTCGCATATATGCGACATTTAGTCTATTTCAATAAAACTATGATAATTTTTACTATTGTCTTCGCTGTCGACCGGGCGTCGCAAATATGCGACATTACAAAAGGTTATAAAAAATACAAAAAAACAAAAATGATTTATTTACAAACACGATTGTAGCGTATTACAATGTAAATGACCACTGTTTTACAGGTTTTCGCCCGTGGTCTGTGCGAACTGTTATCCAAGTGACAGCCGGTCTATGTGTAAGATTCAAATGTATACCTCGGTCTGTGGCAATGACCGCGGCGTCACATATATTCGACGCTCAGTAGCGAACGTGTTAAAATAATAACTACTATGCTGATGCTATAGTTAGTTGGATACAACAAATTTGAGAACATTTCAAAAAGTTGTTCTATTTGTTGTTGAAATAATTGATTATTTTTTAGTTGTCTTTTTCCTCTCTGACAGCACCAATTTTAAGGAAACGTTGCTTTTTGAATAAAATAAAATTAGGTGACCTTTATTATAAACTTAATTCATATTTTCATCCTGTTGTCTACAAAAAAATATATATATATTTAGGTAACTCTACATCATAACTTCATTACATTTAAAAAGAAGGTTTTTGACTGGTTAAATTATTAAATTTAACTACTTACTACAATTCATGATAGAAAAAAAACTTGTCTTGTCTAAATTGAAAATCTCAGACTCGGACATCTCTAGTGAATTATTCATCTTAAGCTAATAGATTTGTTCTAAAAATGCAAAGGAAAAACAAATTTAATCTTTGTCAAAAAACATTTTGCTATTATTGATGAAAAAAGGACTTGCTCCCAATCCAACTTTAGGTCCATGAGCACTGTGTTGCAATACCCTATACATAAATCTGCTGCTTATAAAAAGAGTACTTTTTATATGGGTCTCAAACTATATAATAATAAGCTTCCTTTATCACTGAAAGAAGTTTAATAATTTTTAAAGTCCCAGGTTACACTTACCGTCTTCCCTGTTAGACAATTGTTTTTACAGCATTGAGGAATTTGTATCAGTCTGATTGTTTGACATAACTTCTTGATATAACTTTGTAAATTTTGCTTATAAACTTAGCTTATTTAATACTTGTTGCTTTTATTCTAAACTAGATTGTAAGTACACAATGTATCTTTTGACAATTTACCTGCCTGTGTGCAGAAGCACTTCTTAGGCATTATGTGATGTATTTTAATGAATAAATAAATTTGTAACTTACATTTGAATGTGTTATCATCCAGCGGGGGAGCAGCAGTGGCAGGTACAGGAGCGGGGGGAGGCGGTGACTTGATAGGACTAGACACCAGTGGGGGACCAGGCTCTGTTGGTAACCTGCCTCTCCTCTCTACAGTCCTGCTGCTACAATATAAAATGTCAAGCTAAGTAATAATGTTCTCGCCACACTACACTGTTTTAACAAACTTTCCACACAAGCATTTAGTCTGGAAAACAACTGTTTGCCGCCTGCTTAATCAAATGGGGTTTCATTACGTACTACTGCAAGGTGATGAGTTTTTACTGTACACCAGCTTATTATTGTAGGCAAAGAGTGGTGATTGTTAGTCCATTGGTCAGTGGGAATATATAATAAATATGTAAAGTTCTTTTTTATTGTTAGGTTAGTTCATAGTAGTATGACGAAAATTATCATATGTCACTTGTGCAAAATGTTTTTAACGGACTAGTCTGGTAAACACCTATTTTCCAAACTAGTAACACAATACTGTATACTATTATATAGAATAACTACTGTAGTTTCAGATAGTTTTAGATAGTATCCTGTTTAATTTTGAGATGCCATACACTCTACAGCCCATGCCATCTACTAATCTGTATCCGGGCAATTCTTCCTCACCATTACCCTCCAAGTCTTCAATAATAGTGCAAGGACGTCAACTTGATTCTCAAGGAAAACGTTTTTTACGAACTCATACTCGATAGCACCGAAGTTACAAAAGTGTATTTAGGCTTACATTATTTGGGTTATAATATCTATCTATTGTGGAATTGACAAAGCTGAGAGCTTACTTATATGTTTCACTCCAGCTACTAAAGTCATTGTTTATTTGGCAACACCTGGGGAATGGCTTAAGGACTTTTGGCTATGAACACAATCCCCATAGCTAGCTATAATATTTTATACTAGTGTAAAAGATATCCCTGAAGAGAAGAGGCTATTTTATTTTTACAGGTAAACCAAAACACAAGGTAAACCAATATAATTAATTAATACATCTTTTAAACAATTGCATCAAACCTAAACATACAAAAAGTAAACCCACAGGGTTCGATCCAACTTAGTATGGAACAGCGATACTCTACTGTGTCAGAAAATTAATAAAACAAAGACTGAAGGGAGCAAGAAAAACAAATGCAATATACAATAGAACAATCACTATAACACTAGTGATGGGCGGATCCAAGAAAATGTCGGTACCGGTTCCGGATCCGGAACTTGAAAAAATCGGATCCGGATCCTCGGATCCAAATACAGATAGGTTTTTTTTCAAGGGCGGGGTTTTTAAATAATTCATATGGCTAGGCAATGTCAAAGACTAACTGTGTCCATATACAAGACTCTCTGTGTCCATGTACAGGACTATCATTGGTAGTTCTGTATATGGACTTTGGACACAGATAGTCTTGTACATGGACACAGATAGTTTTGTTCATGGATACCATTGGCGTCGTCAGCATCAAAAGATTGAGGGGGACAAATGTATAGGGGGTCCACCGGGGGGCTTGGGGGGTCCCCCGAATTTGTAATTTTCAAAGCAGTTTGGTGCACTTTCTAACGCAATTTTTAACACCAAAAACCGTGCCCAACTGTCCATAAACTCCCATTTCACCTGTTGTTTGTCATGAGCAAATAGACAATTTAAAAAAATTAAACTATGACGATTGCATTAATGAATTTAAAAACACGCTGTAGACTACGACCATATCCTCCTAAAAGCCGTTTGGTGACTTTATACAGCCAGTTTTAACGTCTAGAACTGTGTGCAAAACCTCCCATTTCCCCCTTTATTTGTCATGAATGACAATCGCATTCATTCATAAATCTCAAAAAATGTTGTAGGCTACGGCTGTATCCTCACAAAAGCTGTTTACCGACTTTCTAAAGCCATTATTAATGTTTATATCTGCTGTGTCCAACTGTCCAAAAACCTCCCGTTTCACCTGTTATTTGTCTTTGTCATGAGCAAGTAGACATTTTAAAAATCAAACTATGACGCACTTGCATTCATGAATTTCAAAACATAGGCCTACTGTAGACTACGAAGCCATATCTCCCAAAAGCCGTATGGTGACTTTATAAAGCCATTTCTAACGGCTAGAACTGTGCCCAATTGTCCTAAAACCTTCCATTTCACCTGTTACATGCCATGCAAGCGATTATGTTTTTTTTTTTAACCTTACGTTTTTCCCCATTCCTTAGATCTGTCACAATATGTATAGCAAGATTATTATAATTAGCCTTTATATATATATATATGTGTATAGCATCGAATTCAATGACGATTGAACACTAATATTTAAACCCACAATCTTACATTTTTACAAGCAGGTTTTTTTATATAAATAATTTGTTTTTGGCCTTCTGCTCGCTTCATTTGACAATAAACAGTTCAAGGTTCAAGTATCAACTCTTCCAAAAAGTATCAACTAACCTAAAAGAACTATAACTGATACTACCCACAGATACAGCACACGGGGAGAAAAAGGTTAACGTAGACCTACATCTAAATGTAGTATCAACCACTGCCGACTGACGGTGACGGAACGGACTGAAAGTCTGACTGAAACGCGAGAAGACATTCAAGACAAGCGTCTAGGCATCCAGTACAACTCGAGGATCGTGGATCGGAACACCCCTCCACCACCGCACCATGCCGTACGCTTCCGAATCACACAGCGAAGCGAGCACCTTGCTTGCTGGCAGTGATCGATCGGGTGAACACGCATTCTGTATGATTTTTAAAATTCCTTTTAAAATTTGGGATGGGGGACAAAAGTGACTTTTCAAATATTGGGGGGACGCGTCCCCCATGTCCCCTATGGCGGCGACGCCCGTGATGGATACAGATAGTCTTGAACATGGACACAGATAGTCTTGTACTTGGATACAGATAGTCTTGTATATGGACACAGATAATCACTATTAATTTTATTTTAAAATATATCACTATGACAAAACACCTGCTCTTATGTATGAATTGTACTTTATATACAATACTTAAAACTTTATAAAGGACGTTTTTAGAGATGTGCGAGCACAGGTTTTTCAGGTCGAGTCGAGTAATTGGCAAAAAACTATGATTCTCGAGTTCGAGTCGAGTTTAAACCAAAAAGATCAGGATGTGTAAGTTTAAGTAACTCCTTAGGCTAGAGGTTGTAACTTGTAAAACAACCAACAAGCTGAAGTACGATTATAAATGAATTAATTATTAATATTTTTGCGGTAACATATCAAAAGAATGCATAGAAAATCATTTTAAACCAACAACAATAAAGCTCATAAATGAACTTCTACTTCCGCAAAAAATAAGTAAGTGAGCATATATTCATTTATCTAAAAATACTTAATACTTGCATCCATTCGTTATTAAGGTTGCAATTACAATATAAAGTAGGTATAGAGATTTATTCTACAACTTTAAATTTTATTTCCTACCTTTAGTTTTGTATGTTTATTACCATTTTTCTTAGTTGGTGTGATTTTTGTAACAGTGGGCATACACAATTTCCAATGGTTTGACAGTGGGTAAAGGAAAAAATAAATTTTTAAAATTAAAGAAAATTAAATTTTCTAATCTTGTCTGTTAATTGTAAACAAACATTCTGTCAAAATAATCAAAATGTATGTTCAAAATAAAGTACTTAAATAATAGGGGTGGGCGAGTACTCGACCTTCGAGTTTTTTCAAATACTTGACCTCGAGTCGAGTAGTAATTACTACTCGAAAATTTCGAGTCGAGTAGTTATAAATAGTGCCACTTCACGATTTTCTACACCCATATTTAATTAATTATATTTTGTTTTGTGTTGATGCCTTATTTAATCCCCATTCCTACAAAAAACAACTATCTAAACTCATATAGGTTAGACCAGCGTAAACCAAATGTTCAACAAACAACCATCGTCATTCGGCAGAGCTAGCAAGAGGACTACTAAAGATAAGACTTTCACTTTCCTACAACAGTCAACATACGTCTCGATAACGATACAGTAAGTTGAAATAAAGCATTGAATGAATCTATCGAATTGCAATAGTCGATAGTCAACAAGGGAGTCTCGTGACTAGTATAACAATGGCAGATGATTCTTGAAGATATTATAAAGTACAGTATCAGATTTAGTTTGAACTGCCATAAAAATATTTTATACCAAAATATAGAAATAACAAAATATTTTATACCAAAATATAGAAATACAACAAATAAAAATAACCTATTATAGCATAATATTTGTTCACATTAATCGGTATTGGTGTTTGGTTTTACAAACCGATAAGTTACTGCAAGGAACATCGATGCAACTGAATGACGCAATCTCATTGGGTCTTGGCAGAAACCAGAAAGAAATGATCAGTTCCAACAGTGTTGCCAGATGGAAGATAATTTTTGTACTTTACAACTGTGGTATTGGCATAAACAAACTATAAGTAAAATTCATTTTCTAATGAGTTTACATAAACCTGATTAAAATTAGTCAAACTATTATTTTTTTTACGAAATAAAAGCTATACAAATTTTATGATAATTTTACCGACATTCACCATAATGGTGTAATGATAAATATGGCAACGTCAGCCCTGCAAAACAGCTGTTTGATGGTAAAACAAAGCAGAAGCAGAATGAGCAGACTGACGAGAGAGAGAGAGAGAGAGAGAGAGAGAGAGAGAGAGAGAGAGAGAGAGAGAGAGAGAGAGAGAGAGAGAGAGAGCAGATATGGTGACAGCTGGCGTAACAACAAAGAACAAAACAATGGATTGGAGTGAAGTTATGTCAATGTCAGTTTTGAATGTTTTTACTTTGAAGTGAATTTGACTTAAAATAAAATTGATTTTGTCAACTTAATGGAAGTTTAATAGAAAGTAAAATAAACATATATTCTGTTTGTGATTTTGATTGTGCAATTAATTTTCAATCTGGTGACAGAAACATGACAACTACAGTTTGAAATTGTAACTTAACCTAGAAAATGTGAGTTTATAAAGAAAGGCCAAATAGGCTATACCGGGCTACAGTGAAATGTGTTTTAATTTTAAATTAAGTGTTTAATGTGGGATTTTATTTCGAGATAATAGGCCTACTATGTTTTTGTTTGATATTTTCAGTCTGTCAGAGCCGAGTGAC